AACGAACTCTCTACAGCGAACTAACGTAATACATAACGAACTCTCTACAGCGAACTAACGTAGTACATAACGAACTCTCTACAGCGAACTAACGTAGTACATAACGAACTCTCTACAGCGAACTTACGTAGTACATAACGAACTCTCTACAGCGAACTAACGTAGTACATAACGAACTCTCTACAGCGAACTAACGTACATAACAAACTCTCTACAGCGAACTAACGTAATACATAACGAACTCTCTACAGCGAACTAACGTAATACATAACGAACTCTCTACAGCGAACTAACGTAATACATAACGAACTCTCTACAGCGAACTAACGTAGTACATAACGAACTCTCTACAGCAAACTAACGTAGAACTTAACGAACTCTCTACAGCGAACTAACGTACATAACAAACTCTCTACAGCGAACTAACGTAATACATAACGAACTCTCTACAGCGAACTTACGAACATAACAAACTCTCTACAGCGAACTAACGTAGTACATAACGAACTCTCTACAGCGAACTAACGTAGTACATAACAAACTCTCTACAGCGAACTAACGTACATAACAAACTCTCTACAGCGAACTAACGTAGTACATAACGAACTCTCTACAGCGAACTGACGTAGTACATAACAAACTCTCTACAGCGAACTAACGTACATAACAAACTGTCTACACCGAACTAACGTAGTACATAACGAACTCTCTACAGCGAACTAACGTACATAACGAACTCTCTACAGCGAACTAACGTAGTACATAACGAACTCTCTACAGCGAACTAACGTAGTACATAACGAACTCTCTACAGCAAAATAACTTAGTACATAACGAACTCTCTACAGCGAACTAACGTAGTACATAACGAACTCTCTACAGCGAACTAACGTAGTACATAACGAACTCTCTACAGCAAAATAACTTAGTACATAACGAACTCTCTACAGCAAACTAACGTAGTACATAACCAACTCTCTACAGCGAACTAACGTAGTACATAGCAAACTGATATCTGATCCCCGACAAGCCCAAATACCACTAATTATTGATGTGTATAGCGAACTGAGAAATCTCACACTGCCAAATGTCACTGATAATTGGCTGTACGCAATCAGTGGCGATTCAACCTTGTTAAACTTGCATCATGTTAATCTGACCCGTCCGTGTAATTTGACTAATCTTGTCTGTAAAATCGTGTCTGTAAAACAAACATTGCTAATACAATTCAATGCAGCAATTACCCTCGCTATTGCGCTCTTCAATATATAACTCGGTTATAGTGCGCGGCAAAGCATAGCTACAAAAATTCACTTGCATTTATAATAAACCTAAGTTTTCCAATGACACGATGTCTTCCCCATCTCAAAATACATTATCAGCTAATCATTCAATAATGTTAACATTAATTTCGATGAAGTCGTGTATGAAGTGACCGGGAGATCGCACAACTCATCGTTATTTATTTACGGATAAAGTAATAATTTTAGCTACAATTTCTTCCGAATATTGAATCATTTTTTTTTAAGTTGTATGATGAGGTACTTTTTAACACAGGTAGATGCGGGGGAAATGTGTATGTGTATTGTGTTTTGTTTTATCCAAGATGGCGGACGTAGCCAAAACGTATATTACAAATAACGTATATAATGAACTGACTTCTCCGGTCCCTTGTAGTTTGTTATATCCATGTTCTACTGTACATCATTTTAGCATTTACAATATACATTTTGTCAACGTACATTTGAATTGTGATGACATGTAAATATAAAATGTCTCGTGTAAAACATAAAGTCAGTACGACAGTAAATAATACTATTGTAATCGCATTAAAATACAATAATAGCAAGATACATATGTCATTCTAAAGCTTGTGTTCCACATTTAGAACCAGGAGGAAAACTGATTAAACAAAGGGAAGAAGCTTGCTCTTACATATATGTAGAGACATATGACTATTTATCATATAATGGGTAGGTTTCTCGGAAGGATAAAGCCAACGGATAAAAACGATATCCGTTGGGGTCATATGCGGATAGAGATGCAAATATCAAAGGTCAAGTAGGGACTACTTTCAGTGTTTACAAACAAACATGGCGTCGCCCTTGTCATTCGGCGATCGAGTCAGAATTAACCATCGTGAATCTGGATAAACTAAAGGGATAATTGCTATCATTATCAAAAGAACAGTCTAACATACTGAAAATCAGTGTCTAACTGTGATGTAGCTAAGGCATTTTATAACTTTTGGCAACTTTTGAGATATAAATTTCGAAACAATTTTGCAAGGGCACTAGGCCCAGCCAAGCGGGATCAGAAGCCATATCTGTGCTTGTCGACCTCTGCGACTTGAAACCTTTTCCACAAATTAAAATAGTTGGATTTGGCCGAAATATGTTTGAATGGTTACCTTGTTTCGTTTTGTCGCTCTGTGTGCATCTGACTGTACTTGACGTTATGACAGGACAGACCGACTGTCAACAACGTCTGAACGTGGCCGTGACGTCTCATAGACTAGGGTTAGAGTAGCTTCCCTTTGACAAAGGGCAGTTACTCTAGCGGACAGACCGATGGATTGCCGCGAAATGCAAGTAAAAACAATTGTTGTTTTGCGAATACGTTGCTTCGCCACTGTATAAGAAACAGATTTTAGTTGGAGCTATGTTGGCTACTGTCACAGTCCGACTGACGCATCACTTACCCTGTGACGTAATAAATATTAATGCGCGCATTCCAGGAAAACTCACAATGTTTCGGTAATGATTGTGAGAGAGGGAGAGCTATTTTCAAGCACAGTATTAAAGAATGACATTATATGATAAAGAGGTTATCACGCTTGTGTGTTTAGGGATGGTAAATATCCTGTATTAGGAATAAACACTATGTATTTAGCTCGCCAAGGCTCGCTAAATGCAATGTTTATTCCTAATGCAGGATATTTACCATCCCCAAACACACTCGCGTGATAACCTCTATATATGTAAATGTTACGATGTTGTACCTATCTTCACGAATTGGGCAAAATGGGCAACCCCAACTGCCCCGTGGACGAAATACAGGACTGTGACGTCAAACCTAAATATTGATGATGATAATGATGGCAATATATGAGCTTCGTGTGATGATAAATTTAAATACGTTTGGCACATTAACATATTTCAACACATTTTTTAACGGTAAAATTAGATGTCAAAGGTAACATTTTATTATTAGAGGAAATTGGTAGTGAATACTTAATACCATGTATACAGGATATCTTCAGGATTTTTAGTCCTTTCTTTCTCTGTGTGTAATTCCACTGCTGACATTTTAGTGAACTTGGCAAGTGGTTATGAATTTTGATATTCATAGTATTATAATCTGTCAGACAGTACATAAATGTATGTGTTAAATCTTAAAATTCAAAAGGGACTGTTCCCTACCCCCATCAGTATATTAATGAATGAACATTAGTTTATTGTATGGATTATATAAAGCTCTCACTACGTATATGTATTGCATTTTGCATGCACGAAAGATGGGATTAAGGGAGAAAGGAAATATTTTCCTGAACGTTTCCATTAACTTGTGGAGGAAATTGGAAAGGGCTGAACCTGTAGATGGCATCAAATCGGCGATAGATTTGACAGATCACACAGGGTAACATTCAACAGGCTCATTACCTTGTGATCATGTTAACGTTTTTCTTAACAGTTTAGAAAAAGAGAAGAAATTTGAAGTGAACTACATTTGAAAATGATAGAAGAAGTTAATAGTCAACGTTTTTATCATAAAAAAAATCTCTGTTCAGTAAACAACAGTTGTTATTTTAGTAGAGGAATCCAAAACCTTCTCTTACTCTGTAATGGTATATTATGTCAAAGTGAAAACAAAAAAAAACATTAACGTGCAACAAAGCATTTTCCATGGACTTGTTTATTTGCATATTGTTGATAAACATGTGTTCAAATTAATTAAAACATATACTATGTCAACTGTAAATTTCTTCCGCGTGTGAGTGCGTGTAATGCATGCTTATTGGCCTCCCAGATCTCAAAATGCTTTATATGAAAGCAAAATTGTGTGTTTAATTAACCTCATCTCTCATGCCAGTGACTGATTTCAAGACGCATGTCTTTGTGTTACACAGCCAGTGTCCCAACTCTCATGTCAGTGACTGATTTCAAGACGCATGTCTTGGTGTTACACAGCCAGTGTCCGAACTCTCGTGTCAGTGAATGATTTCAAGACGCATGTCTTGGTGTTACACAGCCAGTGTCCCAACTCTCGTGTCAGTGAATGATTTCAAGACGCATGTCTCGGTGTTACACAGCCAGTGTCCCAACTCTCGTGTCAGTGAATGATTTCAAGACGCATGTCTTGGTGTTACACAGCCAGTGTCCCAGCTCTCGTGTCAGTGACTGATTTCAAGACGCATGTCTTGGTGTTACACAGCCAGTGGCCCAACTCTCGTGTCAGTGAATGATTTCAAGACGCATGTCTTGGTGTTACACAGCCAGTGTCCCAACTCCCGTGTATCTACTTTAATGTTTCGCCCTCGCGATCTAACGTTATAACATTTCAGGGCATAGACATCCACTTATACACAACAGATGCGTTCTGGACATATTATCTTTCGGCTCCATAGCCCGCACTGTCTTCAAATTGACTTTATTTGTCTTCGGATGTTACGCCACATGCGTGTTACACGCGTTCTCAACACGTGTAAGGGGAACGAACTTTTAGGCAGTAGTGTACATGTAGTTTGTGATTTCCGAAAACTTCAATATTTGCTTACATCAGTGAATTGATTAGTATTATGACATATTCACTTACTTCTATCACATGACAAGGTGAGATAAGGCTAGTGCCCTTTCAGTTAAGAAATGAGCCAAACTATTTGCCAGTGAAGTGTTTATATGAATGAGAACTCGCCTGTTCATTTCAACGCTTGCTTTTAGGCTCAGATATGTGGAATATGATTGTCAAGAACTCTCAAGAACTGTGTCAAGAACTGTTTTATGACTGCCAAGAACTGTGTCAAGGACAGTGTCAAGAACTGTGTCAAGGATTGTGTCAAGAACTGTGTCAAGGATTGTGTCAAGAACTGTGTCAAGGATTGTGTCATTAACTGTCTCAAGAACCGTGTCATTTATTGTCTCAAGGACTGTGACAAGGATTGTGACAAGAACTTTGTCAAGGACTGTGACAAGAATTGTGACAAGAACTTTTTCAAGGATTGTGTCAAGAACTGTGTCAAGGATTGTGTCATTAACTGTCTCAAGAACCGTGTCATTTATTGTCTCAAGGACTGTGACAAGGATTGTGACAAGAACCTTTTCAAGGATTGTGTCAAGAACTGTGTCAAGGATTGTGTCATTTACTGTCTCAAGAACCGTGTCATTTATTGTCTCAAGAACTGTGACAAGGATTGTGTCAAGAACTGTGTCAAGGACTGTGACAAGGATTGTGACAAGAACTTTGTCAAGGACTGTGTCAAGAACTGTGTCAAGAATTGTGTCAATAACTGTGTCAAGGATTGTGTCAAGAACTGTGTCAAGAACCGTGTCATTTACTGTGTCAAGAACCGTGTCATTTACTGTCTCAAGGACTGTGACAAGGAATGTGTCAAGAACTATGTCAAGAACTGTTTCCAGAACTGTGTCAAGGTCTGTTATAAGCATTGTGTCAAGAACTCGTCAAGAACTGTTTCGAGGACTCTGTCGAGAGCTGTGTCAAGAACATTGTCAGGAACTGTGTCAGGAACTGTGTCAATAAAAACTGTGTCAAGAAAGACTGTGTCGAGAACTGTGTTCAGAACTGTGACAAGGACTGTGACAAGAACTGTGTCGAGACTGTGTCGAGAACTGCGTCTAGAACTGTGACAAGGACTGTGACAAGAACTGTGTCGAGACTGTGTCGAGAACTGCGTTTGGAACTGTAACAGGGACTGTGACAAGAACTGTGTCGAGACTGTGTCGAGACTGTGTCTAGAACTGCGTCTAGAAGTGTTACAAGGACTGTGTCGAGAATTTGTCGTGAACTGCGTCTAGAACTGTGACAAGGACTGTGACAAGAACTGTGACAAGGACTGTGACAAGAACTGTGTCGAGACTGTGTCGAGACTGTGTCGAGAACTGTGTTTAGAACTGTGACAAGGACTGTGACAAGAACTGTGTCGAGACTGTGTCGAGAACTGCGTCTAGAACTGTGACAAGGACTGTGACAAGAACTGTGTCGAGACTGTGTCGAGAACTGCGTTTGGAACTGTAACAGGGACTGTGACAAGAACCGTGTCGAGACTGTGTCGAGACTGTGTCGAGAACTGCGTCTAGAACTGTGACAAGGGCTGTGACAAGAACTGTGTCGAGACCTTGTCGAGAACTGCGTCTAGAAGTGTGACAAGGACTGTGACAAGAACTGTGTCGAGACTGTGTCGAGAACTGCGTCGAGAACTGTGACAAGGACTGTGACAAGAACTGTGTCGAGACTGTGTCGAGAACTGCGTCTAGAAGTGTGACAAGAACTGTGTCGAGACTGTGTCGAGAAGTGTGTAAAGGACTGTGACAAGAACTGCGTCTAGAACTGTGTCAAGGAATGTGACAAGAACTGCGTCTAGAACTGTGTCAAGGACTGTGACAAGAACTGCGTCTAGAACTGTGTCAAGGAATGTGACAAGAACTGCGTCTAGAACTGTGTCAAGGACTGTGACAAGAACTGCGTCTAGAACTACGTCTAGAAGTGTGACAAGAACTGTGTCGAGACTGTGTCGAGAAGTGTGTCAAGGACTGTGTCTGAGGATATAGATTTATTTTATAGATAGCCTATAGTCCACCGAGGCGGTGGGAAATGGACAGGACTGTATGAGCAAACGCAGCAGATAAAATGTGCACCGAAACGCACCCAAACGAACTTTGAAATAACCATGAAAATATTGATTGTCACGTGCACGATGAACGTTACATGTGATTCGACTGGTTTTGAGTTGGTTGTGTGCTCTAGTTGCCAGGTGGCAGCATGTCCCAAGGTTCTATTACGTGAATGTAGAACAGACACGTTGTTTTAAAGAACTTAGTTGATTACAAATATAATTTCACATATAAAAGCGGACTTATTCCACAATTGGTAGCTAAATTTGTTCAAATAGAAGAAAACAGTATAGTTTCATGAGGTACAATAGAAGTTTGATCTTGTTTCAAGAGTGTATTGTTTTGATTTAAGGGATTATCTTCACTCCAACTTCTACTTCACGACACCTCAACGTGCAGGTAATTCACTATAATTTCGTTATACCTCAACGTAACGGTAACTTCAAGACACCTTTACGGCATACCAGAACTTAACGATATCTCAACATCAGTAATTCATTCAACGCCATACTGGCTACAATAGATGAAAACTCGTGAAGATACGGTGCGAAAATGGGTACCCATCCACCTACGCTTGACGTACCAGGTGACTCAATGGATGGACGAGTGGTCGGGTGACTTGGTTGATGTCTTCCTTTCAAATTGCGTGGGTAGATGCTCATAACTGCAATCACTAGATTATCTGGCCATGACATGATTATTGATAGAATTCCGTAATATAAACGTAGTATTGTCCAACACTCGTCCAGAGAATATTTGAAATAAGCGTATGAAGCGAAGCATCTCTAAAATCTCTACATATCTTCCGGATTCTCATCGCTCTGCCCAGACCTTCCTCAGAATGTAATCGATCGTTGATGCTTGTGGGCCTTATCATAATTTGAATGGCTCAGCTCTTGTTACCAACATAACATACTACAGCAATTTGTGTACTACAGAGAAACGGCGATCTGTAAATAATCGAGTCTGGACAAGACAATCCAGTGATTCAAATTATGAGCATCCATCTACGCAATTGGGATACGATGACATCCATCAACAAAGTCAGCGAGCCTGCCAACCCGATCCCGTTAGTCACCCCTTACGACAAGCATGGTCGCCTCTTACGGCAAACACTGGGTTGCTGAAGACCTATTCTATCCGGGATCTTCATGGGTCACTACAGCTGGTCAATCCTTGTGCAGCTGGGCAACGATCTTTTCATTGAGCACCGTCTGACCACCTCCGTGGTCTAGTGGTAGAGCGTTCGCAAGGAGACCGGGAGGTCCAGGGTTCGATACCCACCGCGTCATACCAAAATACATTAAAACATGGTACTTGTTATTCGGGCTATTCGGCTCGGAGTCTGTGTCTGAGTGGGGTATTCATGTTAAACTGCATGGGCACAATGCTCACAACATGGACACAATGCTCACTACATGGACACAATGCTCACTACATGGACACAATGCTCACTACATGGACACAATGCTCACAACATGGACAAAATGCTCACTACATGGACGAAATGCTCACTACATGGACACAATGCTCACTACACAGACACAATGCTCACTGCATGGACATTCTGCTAACTACATGGACACAGTGCTAACTACATGGACACAATGCTCACAACATGGACACAATGCTCACTACCCGGACACAATGCTCACTACATGGACACAATGCTTACTACACGGACACAATGTTCACTACATGGACACAATGCTCACTACACGGACACAATGCTCACTACACGGACACAATGTTCACTACACAGACACAATGCTCACTTCACAGACACAATGCTCACTACATGGACACAATGCTCACTACACCGACACAATGCTCACTACACAGACAAAATGCTCACTACACAGACACAATGCTCACTACATGGACACAATGCTCACTACACAGACACAATTCTCACTTCACAGACACAATGCTCACTACATGGACACAATGCTCACTACATGGACACAATGCTCACTACATGGACACAATGCTCACTACACGGACACAATGTTCACTTCACAGACACAATGCTCACTACACAGGCACAATGCTCACTACACAGACACAATGCTCACTACACAGACAAAATGCTCACTACACAGACACAATGCTCACTACATGGACACAATGCTCACTACACAGACACAATGCTCACTTCACAGACACAATGCTCACTACATGGACACAATGCTCACTACATGGACACAATGCTCACTACACAGACAAAATGCTCACTACACAGACACAATGCTCACTACATGGACACAATGCTCACTACACAGATACAATGCTCACTACATGGACAAAATGCTCACTACATGGACACAATGCTCACTACATGGACACAATGCTCACTACACAGACACAATGCTCACTACATAGACACAATGCTCACTACACAGACAAATTGCTCACTACATGGACACAATGCTCACTGCATGGACACAATGCTCACTACATGGACACTATGCTCACTACATGGACACAATGTTCACTACACAGACAAAATGCTCACTACACAGACACAATGCTCACTACATGGACACAATGCTCACTACATGGACACAATGCTCACTACACAGACATAATGCTCACTACCCGGACACAATGCTCACAACATGGGCACGGGGCTCACTACACAGACACAATGCTCACTGCATGGACACAATGCTCACTACATGGACACTATGCTCACTACATGGACACAATGTTCACTACACAGACAAAATGCTCACTACACAGACACAATGCTCACTACATGGACACAGTGCTAACTACATGGACACAGTGCTCACAACATGGACACAATGCTCACTACCCGGACACAATGCTCACTACATGGACACAATGCTTACTACACGGACACAATGTTCACTACATGGACACAATGCTCACTACACGGACACAATGCTCACTACACGGACACAATGTTCACTACACAGACACAATGCTCACTTCACAGACACAATGCTCACTACATGGACACAATGCTCACTACACCGACACAATGCTCACTACACAGACAAAATGCTCACTACACAGACACAATGCTCACTACATGGACACAATGCTCACTACACAGACACAATTCTCACTTCACAGACACAATGCTCACTACATGGACACAATGCTCACTACATGGACACAATGCTCACTACATGGACACAATGCTCACTACACGGACACAATGTTCACTTCCCAGACACAATGCTCACTACACAGGCACAATGCTCACTACACAGACACAATGCTCACTACACAGACAAAATGCTCACTACACAGACACAATGCTCACTACATGGACACAATGCTCACTACACAGACACAATGCTCACTTCACAGACACAATGCTCACTACATGGACACAATGCTCACTACATGGACACAATGCTCACTACACAGACACAATGTTCACTACACGGACACAATGCTCACAACATGGGCACGGGGCTCACTACACAGACACAATGCTCACTGCATGGACACAATGCTCACTACATGGACACTATGCTCACTACATGGACACAATGTTCACTACACAGACAAAATGCTCACTACACAGACACAATGCTCACTACATGGACACAATGCTCACTACATGGACACAATGCTCACTACACAGACATAATGCTCACTACACGGACACAATGCTCACTACACAGACACAATGCTCACTGCACAGACACAATGCTCACTACACAGACACAATGCTCACTACACGGACACAACGCTCACTACACGGACACAATGTTCACTACACAGACACAATGCTCACTTCACAGACACAATGCTCACTACATGGACACAATGCTCACTACACGGACACAATGCTCACTACACAGACACAATGCTCACTACACAGACACAATGCTCACTGCACAGACACAATGCTCACTACACAGACACAATGCTCACTACACGGACACAATGCTCACTACACGGACACAATGTTCACTACACAGACACAATGCTCACTTCACAGACACAATGCTCACTACATGGACACAATGCTCACT